GTCTTTATTACATGTTAGCTAACACAGGTAGTCTTTATTACATGTTGGCGAACACAGGTAGTCTTTATTACATGTTCGCTAACACAGGTAGTCTTTATTATATGTTAGCTAACACAGGTAGTCTTTATTACATGTTAGCTAACACAGGTAGTCTTTATTACATGTTAGCTAACACAGATAGTCTTTATTACATGTTAGCTAACACAGGTAGTCTTTATTACATGTTAGCTAACACAGGTAGTCTTTATTACATGTTAGCTAACACAGGTCGTTCTGTATCGTGACTCTTTAGGTTACCAGCTGGATGTAAAGTTTGTGTCCATGAATGTTTTCACTTCAGATGCCAGCGTTTGTGTTTACTCCAACTGAAAAAGAAAAGGATGAGCAGTTATTACACGTCCGCTACGTGTCCTCCAAGGACCAGTACTGCCGAGTGTCCAGCTGCTCTGAAACCACGCCGGGCTGGGAACGCTGTGTGTGGACCAGGGAGTCTGTCTTCAGGAAAGTGGAAAGTGACTGGCATATGGTAAGTAGGTGGTGTCAGAAGATCAAAGCATAATAAAAGCTGATATGTTGATGTTCTGGCTGAGGGATTCAGCCCAGAGTTTGTCATGAATTTATAAAATGTCCTGAACAAACTCAGTTCTTCTGTCCACTTTGAGAAAACAGACCATTTTCTCAGTTGTCGGTCAGTCTGGAAGAAGCCAACAGTTCCACAGTGAATAAATACAACTGTAGGAAAACACTTCCTGTTTGGAAAAATAAAACTAAGATTAAAAAGATGAGTGACAAAAAGAGAATTTGTCATAGCACACAGGAGATGAGAATAAAACCCTGCAGGCAGAAGAAAATACATCGTGTTGTGATGCTGACTCTTGCTTTGTTTGTTTGTTTTTTTAGGCGTATATAGCACGAACAGAAGGCTCTACTGTTGGCAGAATCAGCTGGAAGTTTGACTTTGCTCCAGCAGGATTGAAGATAAAGTCTGTTTCCATCATGGCCTCCAGTCAGACCTTCCACTCTGGGAAAGTCTGCTGGAGCCTGCAGTCAGACCAGTCCACCACAGAGTTTCCTGGAGGTACGCTGTGTTAATGTGCCTCGTTTCATGAATACAACAGTTCTTCAGTGACCCGGTTCGCTGTGTTTGAACCCTCAGACGGGACGGTCCAGTCGTTCCCCAGCTGGTGCAGCTCCTCGGAGCTCGTCGTTTCAGCAGAGCTCAGCGGGGGAGAAGGTGACGTCTCATGGCAGCACTCTCAGCTCTTCAGACAGAGTTTGAAAGAAGAGGAGCCGTCATTAGAAGTCATTATCCACCTCCAAGATGCATAACATTAGTTTCTTCCTCACTGACGACTGTTTGTTCTATGAGCTGTATGATGAACTGGACTCAAAGCGTCACACGCTGAGAAGTCGGTGCAATATTTAAACAAATGCAGGTCTTCCAGGGTTCACTGGTACATGAAATTAAATGTGCATTTGTACAACTTACAYGCTTTATTTCGCAGACAACTGAGAGTTTAGAAAAACGGTTTTAAACACAAGCCATAAAGTTTCTGTAGTACTTCCTGCTGTATAAATGTGCAGGGTTGCCAGATGTCCCATAAAACATAGCTGTTCATTTATTTGAAGTTAAAACTGTGACTAGTTTTAATCAATTCAGGATGGGTACTCCTGAAAACTGGTCCAAAACCAGTTACTTATGCTAGATTTCATATGTAGCTGCTTGTTTATTAAGAGCCAGGCTTAGCTGGATAAATTATTATAAATGAATTTTAACCAGGGACTGATTTTATTTCTAAATGAGGTGTTTGAGTCATGACTTATCATTAGGCTGTGTTATGATGTGATACAGGTGTGTTCGCCACAGTCCGTAAGGAGGCTGCTGGTGTGGCCCCTACTGGTCCCAGTTAGGAAAGGTTTAGTATTATTCTGCCTGAAATGTGGCAACCATAAATATATGTTTATAAAACAAGGAGTCACTGCACAAACTAAACTTGGCTCATTTATTTCATTTTGTGTCTGTAGTTGTCGAACTGTCCTGGTTGTTAATGGTAGTGTGTGTCGGGGGTTTTCATCCTGTCATGAAACATTTTGAATATTTTTGGTACTAATCTTCAAAAGGCTACAGGATTATGTATAAAGTAACAATAAAATTATTTGGAACATGTAAGAGTGG